AAAGTATTTGGGTTTTATATTGGCTCTTGGGAGATGTTTAAAAACAAACAAGCTGGGGGTCTATTTTTTATACAGTTGGGATTTCTAAGCATTAATGAACAGCATCCTCTAGCGGACAGTGCTGGTGATACTACATGCATTGTAGTTTAAGCATATCCAACAGATTCAGAGAGGGAGGGAGGGAGGGAGAGAGAGAATATGAATGAATCACTAAGAAAATTGAGTTCAGATTATAAATGACGTTAAGTAGTTTGAGAACATTAACATTAATAATGTTAAAAAAACAAAACATAAACTCTGCTCAGCATTAATACTGATATGACATGGGGAGGATGTTGCCCATTTCTTCCCTAATGACTGCCAAATTTAATTTTTGGTACTAACAACATCCTATCTTAAGCTTTTCACCTAACCTTGAGAGTCCTTGTCTTATTCACGGCCTGCTGAGATCCCCTTGGTGTATCTAGAAATTTACACAGATGCTTGTTTCCCAGGCTGTGTAGGAGATGCAGATGGTTGCAAATAAATCTGTGGAAACCATGCAGAATCCACTTTGTATTGTTGATTCAATCCAGCCATGTGGATCAGCTTGAAAAATTGATCCAATTTGAAACAATCTCAATACTCTCATCTTGAGGTGCAGCAAGCACAGTTATCCTAATTTGACCATCTGAATCATGAATTGAGATTCTAAATAGAGAAGAAAAACTTTAAGAAAGAAATAAAAATACACACGAAGGATGGATGGTGAAGTTAATGGAGTTAGCAGAAATAACTTCTGTTAAAAAATGGTTTTGTCTAACTTCGTTTCTGCGTGGCAATCACTTTTGGATGTTTTGTTTGAAACTGAAAAAAATGAAATTTTAACCTCGGGATTTGATAATTAGAACTATTTATGACTACAGAAATACTGTGCTATGATTTACTCTAGTTCAAAGCATCATTATATTTCATGCTTGTATCTTTATCAAAGAAAGTTGGAAGTTACTTTTTTCTATACTTTTTTCCACTTCTTATCTGCACTCCACTATTTTATAATTTTAGAAAATTCAATAAAGTTGTATTAAAAGGGATAAATAAAGTGATCCATAGCAATTATATAAAGACTACGGGTGGGGGAGAGTAAATTAATTATCAATATTTGAAAGGGCATTGAACCAAAGAGTTATTATAGATACTCAGGGGTAGAAATGCAGAAGGTAATTACATCCTGCAAACAATTCATAGGCGATAGCAGCACTAACAGTTTAAGCAAGCTATTTCTTCTATTTCACCTTAACAGATTTGTGCATGTGGGAAAGAAAAAAAGGAATGAAAGGAAAAGTACTGTGGTAAGAAAACCTAGAAAGTTGAGAAATGGTAGCAATGGATGGAAACTAATCAAGGAAACTAACCAAGGAGAGAAGCAATGTAAGACTCTAGGAAAAGGATGCAGGCATCCTTTTGAAGCTGCAGGACACAGCTTGACAAACTCTGAGTTTATTGCTTCTTATATACTTGTTACATACACCAGCTTAACCATTAGATGCTGACAAAGGTTTCTTCATTGGAGAATGTCTTCATGTAAGCAACTATTTTCTAGTAACACATTACATGATCAAAGACCAAGTAAGAACAAATACAGGTAGATCAAAAGGAGAAAGAACTGATAAAGACAGGAAGAGATAGGAAGGACCTTAAGCATATTATCTGTTTAGGTAGGTGAGGCATTAAGTCAAAAGGGGATGACCTTCTGGCTGCTTCACTGAGACAAAGGGTATCAAAAGGTTATGATGTTTGTGGGGGGGAAAGCATGGCAGTTTGCTGCGCATGCATTTTTCCCCACATCTCACTCTTCTCTATTTTATTAGTGAGGACATTATCCTAAGCTGGAGTAGTTAGTGGGTCTTAGTCAGGGGACATATAACTTTGCATTTGTTTATACAAAACATAACTTGTTCCTGATGTAAGTTAATGGTAGTTTAGTATGGAAAATTGAAAGTAGAGAGAGAAAAAAAGACATTGAATAACCATATATGTGCATAATTAAACGATACCTCTTGAAAGGAGGTACAATTTAAAATTCTTTGACTGACATGTATACAATGAGGTTTTTTAGGTGAAGTAGTACAATTGACAATTTTTGCACAGGTAAGATTTGTAGGAACAGCTACAATTGGTGTATGTAAAACAATAGCATCAAAGGGTAACATATAAGAGATAAGACCCCAGTTTGACATAGTTGCATAATGAAATTCATTGTCTGATAGAAAATTGCTTAAACCAGTATAATTTTTAAAAACTGAAGCTGGAACACACACAGGTATAAGACAGGTAGAGAGTAGATTTTCCATATCATATGATTCAGAAATACAAAAGTCTGTCACTTGTGTTACATTAGCTAATTGCACCCAAATATTATATTTCATCCATGATTCTAAAGGATGAGGTGGGAGAACTTAAGCCCCCACACAGCAATTAAGAAGGAAAGAGAGGCAAAGAATGACTAAGGAATTTGCAGTCAAAACCACAAATATGGCAGTGCATAAATTCTCTGGTATAGCTTTTTTTCCCTGTTGCTGCAGAACCATCTGTGCTTTGAATGTTAGGTTTTTCACATCGCCCCAGGTTGTTGGTCAACTGCGATGGCGAGAGCGAAAGGGACGTTGTGCTGTCTGAAGAGTCACCTGCTTCATTTCCAGTATCGGGTTCTGGACTTGATGCCATGACATCTTTGGCTGGTCGCACACACCGGATTGGAATCCAGAGAGGGCCTGTAGGAGCAAACACAGCAGCATAGCCTCGCCCCCAAGTTAGTAAGGGAATTGGACCTAACCAAGTTTTATCAGGCAATTGCCAATAACATACCAATGGATTAGGGAGCACAGCTTTCTGCTGAAAGTTCCAAAGCGCCTTTCAGAGAAAGAGTCCTACTTTCCCCTGCAGGGTGACCCAGCCAGCAGCGTCCTACTCTCATCGTTTCAGGGAGGAGGGAGAGGAAGAAGAAGAAGACGAAGGCATCCGCCCAGCAGGCTGCTACCTCTGCCTCCTCGCGACGGAGAAGTGCTTTGAGGCAGATGGCAGGTTATAAAACTGACGCTTGGCTCAAAGGAGGGATGGGCAGGCCTACGAAGCCACTGCTCCTCCGTGGGCAGATGGATAGCTGGACAGCTAGGAAAGTTCCCTGACTCTTCTGCTGTGGAGGAAGAAAACCAAGCTTCGAGATCTCGCGAGCAGGCACGCAGACGCGACTGAGCTTGCAACAAGTCCAGCAAGCTTTACGTTGAGGTGGGCGGTTTATAAAAGGAAGGAGCAGTCTCCTCATGCTCCGGAGTGGGGGAGGGATGGTGGTATATTTGTTCGCTTCCCTGAAAAAGCTTCTCGGGCCATCTCCATTGCTAAAAGATAATGCCCTTGCTTTCCTATGATGTCGAAGGTGTCTTACATTAGGAAAAAAACAAAACACAATCCCCATGCAAAAACAGTCCACCCGTGATAACGCAAAACCTAATGAAGAACTACAATGAGATCTCCAGGTTGTTTTCCTTTGGTCAATAAGTCAAATTCCAAGTTAAACAAATTCAGATGGAAACAAATTTCTATTAAGTAGGTTAAACATTTACAAAACTTAAGTAAAACAATTCAGAGTCATTTCTTTTGGTTGATGGATATATAGGTCTAACTAAACAATTTAAACTCAACAATTTTTCCCCCCCAAAAATTGTCCAACAATTACTGTCTCCTCTTTCAAGTAAAAATTTGTAATCTGAAACTGCAAAAGTGGGTATTAAATTTCATCTTCATTTGCAAACCGGAATTCTAAGCAGAGAGGAAAAAAAGTTTAAAACGAACAGCCCCCCCCTTTCTTCTTTCTGTCTCTCTTGCTCTTAAAGCAACACAGCCAGTTGAAAAACAAAAGAGACAGGAAAATTTTTTGTTACAAACTTCTCACCACTAAAAAATAGTTTTCTCTCCTTCACATGCATTTTCCATAAATTCTCTCACACATTCTCCATGGGACTCTTCTCATGCAAACACTTACTATTATTTTTCAATTTACTTTTACAACAATAAAATCTGCAGTTTACTATTTCTTTCACAGCCTGGGAGAGAGTGAGTGGGAGTGGGGTTTGAGGGCTAACACACACTTAGGTATCAACAAATTAATTCATTCATTTTTATTCTAACTGCTTGCACAAACAATTCCACATACAAGTATTTCATTTCATACTTTCTCCAGGCAAACCATTTATTTTTAAATAAGGCCTTTTTGTGTGATGTTATCAGAGAGGGTTTTGACCCTCTTCCAAGTCTTGGAAATAACACAGAACAACACAGACAAACATATATACACAAATACTATTAAAATAACATTTATTTAGACATATGGCTTGTCCTGCAAGAAGCAAGAAAAATCATGAGATGATTCCAACCAAACATGTGGTTTTTATAGGGCCCTTTAACTATCTCCTATTTTTCTCATCATTCCAAGTCCAAGCGTAATATTCTGGGTGGCCACACATATACACATATATACACATATACATAAACAAAACACACACACATCAATTTGGGGTTTGAGGTTAAAACAGGCCTCTCCTTTTAATTAAAAAGGAGGGGAACATTTATGGTTACTTCCAATTTATCCCAGCAACTTCGAAAGACATTGGGGAAAGACTAAAAGGAATATTGAAGGTGTGAAGGGTGAGAGGAAAGTAGCAGCCTCCTCTCCTCACCTCTGACAAAAGAGAATTGAATAGAGCCAGATTAAAAGGGGAAAAAGGAAGAAAAAAAACTTGCTTTCAGTTCTTTGAATTTTCTTTTCTTTTTTTCCGTGGCTTTATCAGATAAACTAGCCAACTGGAGGTTTACAAAGTTTTTCAATGTTGTCTTGTTAAAGATTATTTATACTTCTACACATCAACACAAAGCACCACCAGACATTGTTTGACAGGGTTAAACTTAACAGCTACTTGAAGTTTCAAAACATCCCAATTGTTCAAAACACATTGCAGAGGAGTACATTTAATTTGTTTCTTTAAATTTCCCTGATGATTCCCCATATATTATTTTTTTTCTACTTCAAGATTGTTCCTCTAATATTTTCCTTATGGGGGTGTATGATGGCCGTAAGAAGGCAAAAGGATTAGCCTCTTCAGAAGGAGCTGAAGATCCAATTAAAGATGCTTTCGGAGGCACAGTTTTTACTTGATCCTAATCAGGTGTGGGGCTTGTAGTTAATTGTTGCCCTGCTGAAGCATCTGAGCCAAATTTTCCCACTGCTTGATGGCACTGATGCCATCGATATAATACCTATACTGGAGCCCGAGATTAAAGATGTAAAGTATGCCCTATCTTTTCCCAATCTCGTAACCTAAGCATCCAGCACTTAGGATATCAAGGGGAATGTTTCCCTACCTCATCCACCAGCTTCCTTATGTCTGCCTCAGGTGCTTTCACACCTGATTTGTGTAACAGGAATCTCAGTTCCTGTACATGTTTCTGCTGCTGCTGAGATAGATTGCAACCCTTACTTACCACTGAGGGGTCCCATGGGATAAAAGTGCACTTAGGGGTCTATTCCAGACACTGGTAAGTATGTTGGCTGTTGCTCCCTCGGAAGGGGGGGCTGTCCCAGTTGCTCCATGGGGGGCAGTCCCTGTTCAGGGGCCAGATGTAAGACGCTAAGAAAAAGATGCAGGCATGTCTTGAGCAGAGGTTTGAAGCTGCAGGACACAGCTTGACAAACTCTGAGTTTATTACTTCTTATATACTTGTTACATACACCAGCTTAACCATTAGATGCTGACAAAGGTTTCTTCATTGGAAAATGTCTTCATGTAAGCAACTATTTTCTAGTAACAGATTACATGATCAAAGACTAGGTAAGAACAAATACAGGGAGATGAAAGCAGAAGGAACTAACAAAGACAGGAAGAGATAGGAGAAGGAACTAAGCATATTATCTGTTTAGGTAGGTGAGGCATTAAGTCAAAAGGGATGACCTTTTGGCTGCTTCACTGAGACAAAGGGTATCAAAAGGTTATGAGGTTTTTGGGGGGAAAGCACGGCAGTTTGCTGCGTGTGCAGTTTTCCCCACAAAGCAAGACAGTTAGAACAATTAACCAGTGGAACAACCTGCCTCTTGAACTTGTGGGTGCTCCAACACTGGAGGTTTTTAAGAAGAGATTGGACAACCATTTGTCTGAAATTGTCTAGGGTTTCTTGCCTGAGCAGGGGGGTGAACTAGAAGACCTCCAAGGTCTCTTCCAACTTTGTTCTTCTGTTATTCTGAAAGATAAGACTGTCTGGATCAATTTTATGAATGACTGTGTGATTACTAAGAACAAATGTCATCTGAAATCACTTCAAGACTGCAATGCACATCTTCCAATGGCCTTATTAAGGAATCCACTGCAGAGATGTAGGTTACCCAAATCAGTGCTTTTCAGCAGATCAGGCATTTTGTAGGATCAAACCTTTTTACATATGTATATCATTCAAGATTTTCCAAATCTCCCGTTGTCACTAGCTTCTGAATATATTTCTTTAGTCGCTTCTGAACATATTTCTGCATGCTTGTTCAACATCTGCAGCAAGAGGATAATAGACCATTGTGAGTTAACATTTTCTGACAGGCTTCATTGTGCATGACCAAGATTATGTGAAGGAAAGAGCTGATGATAGGCATCCATATAGCAAAACTGCTAGTATAGATTCAGCAACCAAATGTAGATAGGACACATCAATGTGCTTTTGATACCTCACAGGGGAAAGAACATGGAATCTGGGTCTTCAGAGAAGATTGGGTGTGGTTGGTGGAGAATCAAGTACATTAGCCCTGTCTTAGAATGCAGCACCAGATATACCAGAGACTTCTGGACATGAAGTCTCTCGGATCATTTGTGATCAGCAAATACATTTTTAGATACATTCAATCTGCCAGGTTTAGAGTGGGAGCAGGACCCAGCATTACTGATTCTTTAGTTTGAAATGGTCCCCTTCCATTGACCGGTGGTAACTGGCCAGAAAGACATCATTATCTGCAGGACAGTCATAGTGGCAAGAGCAAGACTTGATCAACATTATTTTTTGAACAAATGACTCTCCCTCGGGGCACCGAAATTCCACTTTCATTGTGCTGGTGATATGTGGGGTACAACAATGATTGTCCATGCAGCTGCCACAGAACTTGGGCCAGTAGAAGTGGATGCTGGTGCAGCCGGTGAACTCAAAGTGGATTGCCTCGTGAGATTTAGGGTTTCGCAGGCACTTCTTCCCTTTCTGAAAAGAAAGAAAAAACAGATGTGGGTCAGCTTGGATGCATTCGGAGTTATCCCAGCCTTTTTCAACCTGATAGTTATCATACCATCAAAACTGTGATATATAACTTTGCATCAGAAGAAGGAGAGAAGGATTGAGCTGTAATCCTAGGCAGACCCAACTGTGAGGACTTGGGCTCTGGTACCAGAGATGATCAGGTGAAAGCCGGATCTTTTAGTTTAAGGGACAGTGCTTTACAGCAATCAAGTGGAAAAACAATGTATGTGAGAATCTGCCCTTGTTTTTTTCCATCTGTGGATTTTAAGCTGCCTTTCTGGAACTTTCTTGCCTGGACTACCACGTCTATATTCAGACTTTGGATAGAACTGGGATTATCTGTTCCATTGTGACTATCAACACTAATTTCAGCTCCAGATAACTAACAACTCTGGATATGTAACACATGTTGTCAGAATTGCAACTGCAAAAATTCATAAAATATCTGGAGGATGGTGATCTACACTCAGTGGTGAAGATTACACATTTTCAATTGGCCTTGATTGAAAAGCACTGTTTTAAGGTGTTAGACAGATGTGGAAACAACAATTTTCACAATGATAGTTAATAAAAAAAACTGTAATCCTATATGGAGCTCTCCATGGTTCTGAAAATGCTTTCTTTTACAGTACCCGAAACCAGAAGTGCCTTGACCAGTGATGGCGAACCTTTAAGAGACTGAGTGCCCAGACTGCAACCCAAAACCCACTTATGCATCGTCAAGTGCCGGGTGGATGTGGCCCATTGTCTGGGTGTGGCCCATTGGCTGGGGGTGGCAGCGGTGGTAACGGCAGACTGGGTGGGATTAAAAAAATCAATCAATCAATTCCAACTTTGCAAAATCTTTTTTTTCCCACGAGAAGTTGAAATTGACTGATTGAACCTTTTTTTTTTTTGCACACAGCGGTGGAGGCCTAAAACGAAAAGGTTTTCTAAAACCCAGCTGAAGGCCTAGGACTGGGGCGACAGTGCGCGTGCCACAGAAAGGGCTCTGAGTGCCACCTCTGGCACCCGTGCCACAGGTTCGCCACTACTGGCCTTGACTATTCTATAAGCTACCTGTATTAGTTGGGATCTTTGAACCACTCAACCAGTTCAGCCATTTGGGTTACTCTAAACCAAACCCATTCTATAGGTTTGTTATGAGAACAACATCTACACCATGAGAATGTTATCTTGAACTAATAAGAAGAAAAGCAGGGCATAAATATGAAAAATACAATTCAAAGCACATTTTCTCCAGCTCTCCAGTTTCCTATTTGCTCAGTTTTCTACTTACAAAATGTTTATTATGCAAAAAAACCATCATCCTCTGCAGGATCTTTCAGAATGTATAACTACAAAAACATCTAAAACATACTGTGACATGAGCTCCAGCTTCCTCTTTGCTGGAAATGCCGGATAGAATTTGTGAACGAAGTTTTAATCTGGAAACTGCAAAGGTTGGACTGAGGGGCCTTGATAACCTCTTCCAATTGATCTAATTAAAATAAATACAACAGGTACAATTCAATCCACCCTCTCATTCCAAGAGATGACTAAGACCTTGATCAACCCATTCACCAGGTCCTAAAGGGATGTGTCCTCTGAAAATCAATAGGGTTCATCAGGTGCCTGGGATGACCAATCAATTGAGTCTTTCTTCTTTTTTTTTATAAAGATTTTATTGGTTTTCTTTTGTATACATATGTTAATTTTTCCAATCAACGAGCTGTCTGGAATTAGCTATGCTAATACATATTTAATTCCTAATCCTTCATTCTTTCTTCTAACCAGCGATAAAATAAATCCCAAATTTGGTAGTAGTCTGTATCTTTGTCTTTCAGTCTCATAGTTAATCTGTCCATCTCTGCACATTCCAATATTTTTCTGATTATTTCTTCTTCTGGTGGCAATTCTTCATTCTTCCAGTATTGTGCGAAGATTATTCTCGCTGCTGTAGTGATGTGTAGAATTAAATATAAACTCTGCTTATTAATCTTTTCAGGCATTATACCTAGTAAAAAAAGTTCAGGTTTAAAATCAACATGTTCACCTAATATTTTTTCTAATCACGTATGTATCTTTCTCCAGTAAACCTTAGCTTTGCCACATGTCCACCAGATGTGGTAGTACGTGTCTACATTGTGTTTACATTTCCAGCATCTATCTGACATATTTTTTTTTATTGAAAAATTTTTTAAATTTTACAAAACAAATCCCCTCCCCAGACCCCCCCCACCCTCCCTTACCCTCCCCCACCTCCCCAAACCTCCCAAACCCTCCCCCAACCTTCCCAGAGTTGAGTACAGGCTTAATTAAAATTTTCCAGAAAAAGAAAAGAAAAACTTGAAACACATATAAATCCTAAACAAATCTAGATACCTTAAATTAAATAGATTATCTTCTCTAAAAAGTAATAATTACAATCATTAAACACATTATAATATACTCTAAACATTTTCTAATATGCTTATAATGTTATCCATCATTCTATATAAACTCCCTCCAAAACACAAATTTAAACATTACTTTGTTTAAAAATCTATACCTACAATATAAAATCTAATATAAATCATAGGCAAATCTGAATACATTTAATTAAACAAATTATACTCCCTCCAAAGCACAAATTTAAACATTACTTAAAACTTAAAACATTAGAATCCCCTTATACGCTTTAAAATCTTTACCAATAACAAATTCCATCTTAAAAATAATAATAATAATTAAAAAAAACCCAAACATTGAACACATTATAATATACTCCAAACCTTTTCATATCATACTTATATTATTATCCATCATTCTTTATAAACTCCCTCCAAAACACAAATTTAAACATTACTTAAAACTTAAAACATTAAAATTCCCTTATACACATTTAAATCTTTACCGATAATAAATTCCATCCACAATAGACACATTAAACATTTAAATCTTTACCAATAGTAAGTTCCAACCACAAAAAACACAGTCCTTATCAGTCTCGATTGTCCATGTAAAATTTTCATTCGATCTCCATCCTTATCAGTCTCTCTTATCCATAAGGCTCGAAAGAAATGCTTTGAGATCTGCCCTTAAAGGTTGCTCCGAAATTATAAATCCTGACTCTCCCGCTGGCTCAGAAGCCAATACATGTGAAGATTCCTTAAACTCCTTCTTCTGTTGGTCTTTTTCTTTACTATTATATGTTGCACAAGTTGTCCTCCGCCCCTTCCTCTCAGCTTGTTGAAGCCCCTCAGACTGAAATTTCCCATTTTCCATTTCTTCAGACAGCAATTTTACCCTTGAGGGTTGCTCCCGAAACTTTATAAGTCTTGCTTCTCCCGCAGGTTTAGAAACCAATAGATGTGAGGCTTCCTTAACCTTCTTCTGTTGCTGCTTCTCTTTACAGTTATATGTTGCACAAGTTATCTTCTGCTCTTCTATCTGAACTTGTTGAGGCCCCTCAAGCTGAGGTTCCCCAATTTTCATAAGTATAGGCTCTTCAGGGTATAATTCTACATTCTTTTCTTCCAAGGCTTTAAACTTAGTAGATGGCGATGAACATACCCCCAGGACCGAAGTATAAAAATCTTTTGCTTGAAAAACAGTATTAAGTCTATAACATGTCCCCAGGTAATTCACCACCATTCCAATCGGAACATCCCATCTGAACGAGATTCGTCTCTTTTTAAGTTCATCTGCTAAAAAAGCAAACTCCTTTCTTCTTCTTAAAATTTTAGATGGGATCTCCTTTAAAATTATAACATCTTGTAAGGTAATTTGAAATCTCTTTTTATAAAAAGCTTGTATAATTTCATTGCACAGGGATCTTTTCCCAAAGTAAATTACCACATCTCTTGGCAAATTCTTTTGCACTGCAACCACAGAATTAACTCTAAATAATTTTTCAATTTCACTAAGTATTTCCTCTTTTTCTTTATTCAAAATCACAGCAAAGTCCTTTGCAACCATCTCTTTCAGATCTCCTTGCAAAGACTCTCTCAAGCCTCTGATTCTTAAGGCGTATTCCATTTGTCCATATTGAAGCATAAGAATCTCATTTTCCATTTCTTTTTCCATACTTTCAAATTTTTCCTCCATCAATTCCACTTTTTCTTCTACCTCTTCCACATGGGAATTCAGCTTTTCAAAAACAGAGGCAACTCCTTTTAAAGCCAAAACTATATCTTGCCTCAAAATCTTATTATTTTCCTCTAAAATCTCTTTCATTTCTGCCCTAATTTGAGATATAACATTTCCCATCATATCTTGCAGATCCTTCACCATTATTGGCTGAGCCAAGAAAGAAGGGAGATCATTATAATAAAAAAGGGAGAAAAAAAGGAAATAAAAGGAATTAAATAAAAAGAAATCCATTCCATTTTTTTTAAAAAATACAAAAAACAAAACAGAAAAGTTAAACAAAAATAATAATGCCTCTAAGATCCAAAAAACCCGATCGCTATCTTATTTTCCCTTTCAGCAAGAAAAAAAAAATCATTAAAAAGAAAAAGAAAGGGAAAGAGAAACACCAGGAAGCCTGCCTTTAAAAATAAACAAAAATAATAATGCTTCTAAAATCCAAAAAAGCCGATCGCCATTTTATTTTCACTTTCATCAAAAAAAAGAAGAATAAAACATCCATTCCAATCATTAAAAAGAAAAGAAAAGAGAAAGGGAAAGAAAAACACCAAAAAACCTACCGATCACCATTCTAGCTTCCCAAAAGGAAAAAAAATAAAAATAAAAAAAACGCCGGAAAGTCTGCCGATCGCCATTTTACTTTCCCTTTCAGCAAAAAGTAAAAAGTAAAAAGAGGGAATATAAACGTAAAAATAAATCTTTAAACTAAAAATCCATATAAAGTCAAAGAAAGCAAAAGCTAATCCTCTAGTCAACTCTGTCCGCTTCTAAAAAACTCACCAGATCTCTTTAAATGCGGAGGTGATTGCAACGGCTTGTTTTGTCCCTAAGGACAAAAGCAGCTGGGAAGCGGA